ATTAAACAAGTAGTGGAGCAACAGGTGAGAGAAGCCTTGACTCAATCAAAAGAAGGGGCATTGATCCTAAACGGTAGACCCTATCCTGAAGATCACAAATCTCTTAGTTTGCAGGATTGGGTCTATCGCCGAGATCTACACTTATCATTCGAGAGTGTGTAGTATTCGCGGTATCGGACACGATTATGCAAACTATCGGACTATTGAGATCCATTTGGTCTCATTTTTCAAAAATTAAAACATATTACTTTTAAAACTCAAATTATATATCTATTATATTAAATTAAATTTCAAAAATTATTTTCATATTCATATTTTCAAACCTTAAAAAAAAGTTGACCGACAGGTCTGGAAGAAGTAAAATATCACCATAGTATTAAGAACATGAGTACTCACCTCGATTATTCTTAATTCGATAAGATTTTGCCCCGACGTCGATTCTTCCAACTGAAAACCTAATATAAACATGATATAAAATTTAATTTATTTAGTATTTCGACTACACTATTAACGTTTCATCAATATTAAAGTAATAAATTTCTATTATTTTACTTCATGTAAACTTGTTTCTATTTTTTTAAAAAAAAGCACGAGGGCTAATATATTAAAGAGAAAAGATACAGATAGATTGTATGAGTAGACCCAAAAATAATCACCCAACTCACATCGCACAACACACACAAAAAAGTCAAAAAGAATACATATAGAGATAAAAAAAGATCAAAACCACTAGGACGTTGAAAAAGTAAGGGTCATCACAATTTAGTTCTGCCTCTGCTTCTTTTTCTCGGAAGGAATTCAACTAACAAATTGGTAAGGTGTACCATTAGCCGAAGTAACAAAAGTATCATCCATAAGACTCCCGACCTCTAGTAGATCTCAATTCTTTTTCTTCCTCCTGGAAGTGTAAACATGCCATTCTTCATCCGAAGAATCAGTCTGATGAGGTGGTAGAGCTGTAGCAGAAGGATTACCAATCGTAATATCCACAATAGGTTCTAGGATATGTGAAGTATGAGTTTCCTCTACACCGGATACTTCCTGAAGATGGGAAGCTGCGAGGTTCTCTTGATTATCAGTCTGAACACTATCCTTTGTAGGTAATAGTCCTTCAGTATTGTTTTCTATAGGATTTGAAGGTGCCAGCATCACGTCAATCGCAGTAACAGTAACAACAATGTCAAGGGGGGTCCATAGGGGCTACAGTTAGCTTCTGTCTGGTAGTATCTTCCTCAGATGAAACTAAAATATACAGAGTAAGGGGTTAAACCCATCCTTATCCACTTAAACCTTAGATTTCAAATTAGGATGGAGCTTATGACATTTATCGAAGATATGCCCAAACATCTTACAGCGAGTATAATATGGAGGTTTGTGTTCCACGATGATTTTTTGCCAAAATAAATTCAAAATCCATTATGAGTTGTGCCCGACTAGACTTCAGTAATATCAGGTAAAGTAATATTCATTTCCATAAGTATTCTGGCCACAGAATGTCTGGTTAGATTGAAAGTGGGTAGAACTAGCTTCATAGGGTTCCCAAGGATAGCCCCAATGAAGTAGAGAATCTGATGATGAAAAAACTGCAGCTTGAGACTAGGTAGATTAAATCATACAGGTATAGTGAGAGCTTCATAATTTGGGTCGAAATCAGGAGACCACTTGAGTGACTTCATTGATTTGTCTGCGATTTTAAGAACTTTCTTGGAGAAAATCCGGGTGTAGTCTTCAGCCACGGTTAGTTAAATCAACACGTCTCCCATCCATGAGTCTTACTTTCCACTTGTCTACTAGTTTAAGATCATCAACACTCTTCTGATAACTTCCATAAGTGAGTGCCCCTACTCAAATTTTCCAATAAGAACAAACTTGAATTTCTCCGTCAGGGTTAAAATTTCTAAATCAAAGAAAAAGATTGTTGATTTTCCACCTTTCTTGCTTCCTTTCTCAACAAAAGGGCAATCACTTGTACCATCATGACAATCTTTATAGCTTTAGGGGAAGACAACCGCAGACTACACCTGAGGGTTACCCACCACATGGCAAAAAAGATTTTGTCCGGTTCAACGAAATAATAAGCGCCATCAGAGCAGGGAGATCACTCAGCATTCACCTGCTGCGAGACGAAACGAAGCTGTCGAGCAGGAAGAGGCGCAACGTCGAAACAAAAGAGTACAGGGGAACTTTCTGTCGGGCAGAGCAGGGAGACAGAGGCGTCTTCAAGCAATGAATGTGACAAGGCCAACGTGCCAAGCAATCGGCGTCGCAATCGGCAGACGTGAACATGTGAAGCAGTCGGCGTCGAAACAGAGCGTGAGTCGACAACGACGGAGAAGACGCAGAAGACGAAGCTGGAGAAATCGCAGCGAGGAAAGGAATGAAAACTAATGTGAATCACTGTAACAGGTGTTAGTGTTTGTCATGAGTCGAAACCCTAGCAGAGCTAATAACGGGAGATGAAGACGTCATT